GATTGGGAAACGGCATCAGAATCCAGTGCAAAAATGCGTAATGGAAATAATTATGAACGAAGTGGAAGTGGAGCTGGTTTAAACAAAGAACGAGAAAATATTACATTAATGAATGATAAACTAGGCAACGGTGGTCATTATCAAGGAGATCGAACACCGCCAAGAAAAAGTTATTCTAGTCAAAGGTATGTTTTTATTTCTAATACTAATAATTGCATTGAACAGTCAAAATACATTCTAGTAGGTGAAATTCTAGCATAAAGAGAAAGTAAAGAACCCTCATGTGGGTTAGTATGACGATTTTTTTGTATCAAATAAATGTAAATCTCAGAAAATTCATGTCTTTAATTATCTCGAAGATCTTAGATATTTACTAAATTCGTTTTGATCTGCATATAAGGATAACAAATCAGATTACAAAAATTTCTTCTTTGTCATTTCTAGCGAGTTTTTTGGTAGAAGAGCTTTGTGTATGGGTCGATATCTATGAGATGTTTTGAGTATAATTGAGACAAAAATGCGTTTTTTTTACTTTTTATTTTCTTCTGTTTTTCAGGCCCAGTGCGCGACCGATATACAAATATACAAATGCATAAAAAAATATTTGTTTTACTTAACCTTTTCTTTCCTATATCCAGCAGCACCCAGAGAAATAGGAAAAAGAAAGGAAGAGAGAAAGGTCGATAATTAATTATAGCAAAACCATCAAATTGGCCTCTACACATACACACACACACACACACACACATATATATATGCATATATATATACACACATATATATGTCTTATTGATTTAAAAAAACTTATGATATTCTTTTGAGAAAAAAAGAGACGATAATGACGCGTTATTGTTCATTTCAATTATTGTTTTTGTTTTTCCGTTGGTTTTTTGCTCTTATATTGTTGTTGGACCTTTTTTGTTTTACCCTCCGATTTTTTGTTACCACAGACACGCACACACAGACGATGTTCAGAGTATGTATGTGTATGTGTATGCCAATCATTTCAAAAGCATGTGTATGCATATGTATTCATTGCCATGTTCTTTCTCTCTCTCTCTCTCTCTTTTTCTCTCTCTCTCGCCCACACTGGACCTGAAACACCCTAATTTGCTCTTTTCCATTTTCTCCTTATTACTAACAGTGAAAGATAATACATACCAAGTTAATCATAACGAGTGAAATGATCGATCTATACCTGTACACATACATACTCTAAAACCTTCGTTGTTGTTTTACATAATTTATTTATTAGACGAATCTCAAATTTCCATTATTAATGAAAATGATCATATATCTAGTAGATTATCGTTCTTCAGGTGTTCTTTTTTTTTCTGTGTTTTTTTCATTTAGTGGTTAATATTGTTGTTGTTTCTAGCTTGAAAAGCGTTTTCTTTTGTACATAGTCTCCCTCTTCCTCTGTCTTTCTCTCTCCCTATTTATTTTAATGTAATGATAATAGATCTATCACATGTTGACGGCGAGTGTGTATGTGCCATAGTGTTAAAAAACAAAATTGATGTCTGATGAATAATGGTAAGTATGGTGTTGTTTTTCAGGTTTCTTTTTTTCTACTGGTCATTTTTTTGTTGTTGTTATTTTTGAATGAATTTGTAACTTGTTTTTTTTTCTTCGTTTTGTTTTTTATTTGGAATTAATTTACGCGAACAAACGCTCGTCTTTTACTTTTGTTAAATTTTGGGTGTGTATGTTTTTTTTACACACACACACACGCACATACATTCAGTTTTAACTTTTTTTTTAAACGAAACGTTATTGAAACTTCACCAGAAAATATTATTTGTTTTAGTTTAAAAGATCAAAAAGAAATATTGTTCGTTCTTCCCTCTGTTCAATTAGTTTATATGAATATGTTTTGTATATAAAAAAATAGCCATTCGTATTTCTCTCTGCGCGCATGCCTGTGTGTTTCATCAAACAATTCTATTTAAATTAATTAATAATAATAACTGCTTTTGTTCTCTCGATTCATTTTATTTCGTTTTTCAAATAATTAAATAAATATAAAAATAGTAGAATAGAAGATTATTGAGTACACTTGGGATGTATATCGATGATTAAAAATATATACAATCTTTTGAATAAAAACTGTTTAAAGACTCTATTTTAGTCATCTCAAACGTTATATATGAAATAGTACGTTATTATGCTTAATGATTTATATCAAAAGATGGTTTTGATGCTCAGAAAGGCAAACTAGATTATTTCGATTTCTAAACGTGTGTTTTCATATAATCTTAACTCTTAAACAAGAAGCCGCCAAGCAATGTAGAAAGCCTGTATAAGTAGCAAATTGAATGTGAGAGATTAAATAAGTCAAGAGCCTCTTGTCTGTGTGAATGAGTCATATACAGAACAGACAAATTGCACATGGATATTACACAGATTTAAAGAGACGACAGGATTAAGCTATGAAAATATTTTTGCATTAGGTTTACGTTTCTTCAATAACCGAATAACCGTGTTAATCGTTTAGGCCATTAAATAACCGTTATCCATCCGGTTACAATGATAATAGACGATATTACTCTTA